TTTTTGGGGGCTGGTTGTATAGAAGTGTGTAGGTTGAATATTATTATGTGATACCCTATAAAATCGTGAGAAAGAGATAATATTTTATTGATACAGAACATAATTATAAGCATAATGACCATAAAACAGACAAATCATGAAAAATTAGTTATGCTTTTGCCCTGTATGCAAATTTCCAAGTAACACAACTGGTAAGTTACCCACAATCTAAGTAAAATAACGTTTTTTAAAACTTGTTTTTAACCAACTAGTATAACCATTAATTTTTTTTACTATAAATTAAAAAATAATCCTTTAAATTCACCAACCGGTTGCTATAACCTTAAGGTAAGTTAAAAGGATATTTTTAATAAAATAAACCTTTTGGTAATATTAGAGGTTAAATTTAACTAACATAACGTTAATTTTCCCATAATTAAATTCCCCACTTTAATTTAAGGTTATTTTAACGTTGTGGTACAATATTACTGATTAATGAATTAACCAGGCGTACACGGAGAGAAATGTATAGTAAATTTTAGATAGTAAAAAAAATATAGTAAAATTTACTTTAACAAATTTTAAGGGGAACAATATTATATATTCGTCAATACAATATTAAGATTGTAATACAAAATACTATTTTTTATTATACAATTTTAGTAAAGATTACAACACCAATATAACTAAATCATAAATGTATAATATTCTGTACTAATAATATTCTGTAAAAATGATCTTTATGCAGTAACAAAAGCAACCAGTAAAATTTATTATTTTATTATTTTGGTGCCTGGGGGTACATAAACAGCGTGTATTACACGCTACACAGAAGGTAGAGATAGATATAATTAGCAGTTTTTATTAAACAAGTCCTATGGAGTTTAAATTGAGGTTAGGTTTTCAAAATACCGGTAAGTTTTCTTTAGTTAAATATTTCTGTTTTTTTAATGAATCCTGTTCATGACATTGAAACGCCTTTTTTAAGAAGAAACTAAACTGAAATTGGGCAGCTGTCCAACGCCAAAAATGTTATCAATATTTAAGGATAAGAGGCAGGGTAAGCAATATTTTTGAACTTTTCAAATATCTTGGTACTAAACCTATCGGTGGCTATGTGGCAGTATTTATAAACAAAGCTTATTCCTAATATATTTTAAAGTTTTAAAAAACGAATTTATATTTCGCAATTTGGGTTAAGATTGCTTTAATGTTTTATTTTAGTTTATTTTTTTAAATTTATGTGGAAATTTATTCGTATTTAGACAAATCTTATAGGTATAGCCTCCCCCTCCTATACACAAACGAGCCGCCACTGGAGTTTATTGATTTTTTTACTAAAACTTAATTAAATCTTAAACACAAAATTTCAAAATTAGTTGAAAAAGTTTAAAAAATATTATTGCCATGGCAATGAAGTAAATCTTTAATACTTTGCGAAATATCACAAAAGTGTCATTTTACTGACGTTTATAAAAATGCGTTGTAATTTTCCTGCCACTGTCTGCATCAATTACTTCCAATTAAAGACAGCGATGGCGCCTGCAGTTCGTAAAAGTCGTGTCCAGGATTTAATTGGCCGACGTGCGAGCACCGGCAGCAGCAGCAGCAGCAGCAGTAATTCTCTTTACATTCGGTTCCTGCAAGCTTCCATGTTGCAGGAGGCGGCTCGCGTGCCCGCCAAACACGCAGGAACCGACGACTTGATGCACACGTAACGCGCACCACGAACAATACCTGGAAATTTAACGTAATAAGTGTCCTGCGGCATCCTGCAAAATGCCACCGCAAGCAGGAGGGCGCCCCTCGTGAATACTAACGACCGTTTGTGCATTTCAGCCGAGCTGGAATAATGTGCCTGTCTGAGGGGTTGGCTGAATCAAATTTCATCAACGAAAAACACAACTTTGTAGAATAACGTCATCATGAAGTATATATAGTTAGTCCTAGACAATGAAGATAGTGATAAGATGACGTCACGTGCGAACCAGATTCAAATGTTACAAACTCTCTTCATGAAGTATATATATATATAGAGTTAGTCCTAGACAATGAAGATAGTGATAAGATGACGTCACGTGCGAACCAGATTCAAATGTTACAAACTCTCTTAAAAAGAAATAATTAAAATTCTACCATTTGAATTAGTACCAGCATTTTTTACTAATAAAATAACATCTAAGATTACCATTAATACATATAATAGCTGTACATATCTAGGTACTATGCTCCACACCTCAAAGTCCCACCACGTGACCTCGTACGGAACGCAGTCTTTTGAAAAATTGGCATTTAAGGCTTTTCAGGTTATGTATATGTCAAAGTATAGTCAACGAAAGAAATAATATTATGTTTAGGCGTTAAAAATGTATAAATCTTTATAACATTATAATAACAATGGATGGTTTAAGAATTTAAGAACATAAATACTGCATTTAATGAAATTCTAAAGTGTATGGTGCCAAATAAGTAATATTTTTGTGCATTTGGTCCAAATATCTGGTTTTCTCCATAAAATAATTTTAACTAAACAGCATTTATTTAAAAAAATCTAGCTTCTCTATTATGGAATAAGAATATCCGTATTAAAGGTAGGTTAATATATTATAACAAAAATATCATCTAATTTTGTAATTTTAAGGTTAGAAAAATTTATTTTGACCAAAATAAATAAGTATTTTGGATTATTTAAAAGACTGTATAATATGGTATTTAAAGTTTTGTCAATACAAATAGTTAAAAAGCTTCCACTGAATTTGATCTACATCAAAAAATCATTATAACTTTAAAAATTTTAATAAATCACATGTCATGGGAGTATTAAATATTTTCACATTGCAATTTTCTCTAAAAATTATTGGTTTTCTTATAATCTAACTTAAAGTAAGTATGCCGACATGTATGCACAAATTTTGTCGTTAGAAGTATAAAAGCTTCAATTTAATTTGAACTATATTCAACATTTATTTAGTATACCTATATTTATTTATGATCATATTAACACACTCTTTCGAATAACCTTAAAATACAAAATTAGTTGATATTTTTTGTTCTAATACATTAACCTACCTTTGATACAGATATTCTTATATCATAATAAAGAAGTTAGATTTTTTTTTAATAAATGCTGTTTAGTTAAAACTATTTTATGGAGAAATGTAGATCCAATGCACAAAATTATCACTTATATTGCACCTTACACTTTGGAATTTAATTAAATGCAGTATTAATATTCCTAAATTCTTAAACCAACCATTGTTATTGTGATACTATAAAGATTTATTAACTTTTAACGCTTAAACATAAGCGGTAACACTATAAATATTATTTCTTTCATTGACGAAACTTTGACAGATACATAACCTGAAAAGCCTTAAATGACGTGGTCATGTGGTGGGACTTTGAGGTGTGGAGCATAGTACCTACCAATATGAGACATGTATCTAATTTCTTTAATAAAATCAATAATGTAGCATTCAAAACTAACAACAACCTTAGTAAGTTTATCAAAAACAACAAAGATAAATTATCAAATTCTTCAATATCCGGCGCTTACCAACTAACCTGCAGAGACAGTCCGAAAACAAATATAGGCCAAACGGGTAGAAATTTTAATACACGAATTAAAAAATACAAGAAATCTTATATAAACCTTAAACAGGATTCTTCATATGCTAACCATCTAATACAAGAGAACCACAAATTTGATGATAACTTTAAAATATTACATGTAGCCAATAAACTAAATCTTCTGGAGTCTTTGGAAATTAATAAACTAAAGAAAAAATCTGATATTGTGCTTAATGACCAAATTGAAACTAACAGCTCGCCTTTGCCAATTTTTTTTTAGAATGTATACTTGTAGTACTAAAAAATAATATTTATTAATATTATAAAACTATATTAGATAGGACTTTCCAAAATTGTGTAAGTTTTATTATAATGTCTATACAACACTTATTTTCTCAAATTACCTGCCATTTGTTATAAATACTTCCACTTGATAAAAATATGTACTAATTCTGAAGAAGCTACTGTGTAGCGAAACAATTGTTAATCATTTAAAACATAAATAAAATAGTTAAACTTTAAAACAGTGCTGTTAAAGTTTGACTAATTTAAGATTAGTCATCATTTTTTACTATTTCACCCCTTAAAAACAAACATAGATGCAAAAAATTTAGCATAAAACAGCAACACAAAAAATATATTCAACTTTAAAATATTATGAGCAATATTTGTAGACAAATAAAATTTCAAACCCCGGTTGAGTCAGAACTTTTTTAAAATTTAAATCTACTAATTCAGTAGAATTTCACCAATTATTAGTGACTGCTTTTTCGCTATGACAATTAGTCAAATATGACTTATAATTAGTTATTTTTGACTAATTCATTTTAAGAGAAGCTTAACTTAGTTTCAACAAATTTATAATATATTATTAGTGGCATTTTTGCATCAAAACAACGTTTTTTTTTTTTAATTTTTGGTATCATCTTACACTACACAGGTGTCTGACCGAAATTTAATACGGACCAGCAAAAATAACACAGGGCTATATTAAGTAATTATTTCGTATGGCTTTTCCATAGGCAATCAGACTTTTCAGCTATAATCGGAGCTTGAGTTTGTAGTAGTGCCGTAAGTGTAGTTTCAACAAAAAAAGTTCAACTAACTTTTTCATTAAAATAAACTCTTCTTTACTATTTTATATAGGTGGGGTAAGTAATGAATTTTTCAAGTATTTATCCCCCAATAAACTAGACACTTTAAAACATCTTAAAACTTCTAATTACCTAATGGAATAAAATAGTAAAATAGTAAAACGTACAACAAAATTACGTATTATTAAATGTTCAACATTTTGTATCTCGGGCTTCTTGGTTTCGTTTAAATGAAATTTTTTTGCAAAATCGACAACCGTAAAATTTATCCCCATCTCGAGTCTGGTTCACTTTTTTCCCCTTCCTGCATGCAGGAAAGATCCTTCGCACAGTGGGGAATTTTTTTTTAAAGAATGTTCACGCTGGATTTCTTTCTGGAGATGTTGATTGGTTCAACTGGCCTCCGGAAAGTTGCAATTTAACCTCTATCGACTAAAAAGTGTGAACCATGACCATTAAAGAAAGTTAACAACGTATTTTTTTTTAAATCATGTCCCTCGGTGCGTTCTCCTGCTTTTTTACTCCTGCACGGAAAATTGCCGCATGCTTCGAAACATTGCATCCGCGATCCAAGTCACCTGGATACCCGATAAGAATAAGTGGGGGAAATGGGGTTTTCCTGAGCCGACCCTAAACAGCTGCTGTCTATCAAAAGTGCCCAACGTTTTTAATGGTGTTTATGCTAATTTGACTTTAAACGACCCTGGAGAGAAAAAATGGTGTTGGAGTTTGGAATTAACAAGATTAATCATCTTAGTCAAGTATGTGTTCATCTCACCATTCCTCAAGTATAGATACTTTTTATTTAAGGATTAATTTATTCTTATTTGTAATTTAAATTAATACTTATTTGAAGGATCAATGTAATGCAAGGGTAAACTTATTCTTATTTCAAGAAAAACTAGCATAATGCAACCACCCTCAAATAAAATATACACTATGCTTAATTTAAGAATAAGTATTTTTTGATACAAATGTTATAATTCCTGGCGATACAATTTACTTTTGGATTAAATATAAGGTGTCTTTATGTAATTTAAGCAATAATTGTGTCAAATATTGTCTATTCTATTTTTAACTTTTGCTCGACTTTAAATAAAGGTTAGGATATAATGACCATGTTTATTTCAAAAGGTAAAGAGTGGATAATGCTATCCCTTTTTTTCTAAGACTAATGGAGAAAAATAAATAGGATAATCTTTAACCTTTTAAAATATTATATCCTAACCTTTAAAGTCGACCAAAAGTTAAAAAAAGAATAGACAATATTTGAAACAATTATTGCTTAACTTAACCTAAAAAAAATGATATTGGTCTATAGCATTGTCTTTATTATGTATACATAACTTTTTTACAATGTTTTAAATACCTTCAGACACGTTGATTTTGTTTACGAGACGGACATATTTTGGCTATATTGGCCTATTTAACCAAAATTTTTATTCTTACCTATAATCTAGAGGTAAAATGCACATAATTGTTTTTTATTTGATTCTTCGGACAACCTAATATCACTCCAACATCTATAATTCAATACATAATACTACACACATAAATTATGTAATAGTTATTACCTATTATACATTTGGTGGTTAATTCCATCAAATTCCAATAATTTAGCAGCTATTTCATAATTCCAAACCAAATATTAACTAACACAAGAAACAATCTTCCAAAATGTCGGACACTTTCGTGAGTGGGGGATATTTTCAAGAATAGGCCAGTCGTACCAATATTTACTAATCTTAGAATAAATATAATTATATTTATATCCAGTATAGTTTTATATCTTTAAGAACAGAATAGAGGGAATTTTCCAAAATTTTGTCTAATCGATTGTTAATCTTAAATTAAGAATAATATTAATTAATATTATTTCATTTAAAGTCTTTCTTAAAATTTAACAGGCAAGAATAAGATCTGCTTATTTAAGAAAGATTAATATTTAGTTTAATGTTAGTTTTAGCCTTGATAATATTATTAATATTATATTAGTTCAATCATCTTGTTTCAACTGTACTTGATTTTAAGCTAAGAAATAATTTTTTTAAATTTAATTATAGGTTAATATTTAAATTTAATGTATTCGTAGCCTAAGCAAATTATACTTAAATAAAGTGAATTTTTTTAAGAATAAAGGTAGAAAACATTTTTTTCGTGTACAAGAACGTGGACTTTATTTTGCGTAAATGTAAATTTTATTAACATTTACTTCCTGAAACTTCTTATTTTAGGGTTCAAAGTAACCATAAACTGAAATCGATAAATTAATTAAAACCCCATGTCCGTTGTAGCAATTAAGAATGTAATTAGGCGGTAAATTTTTAATTTATTGCCGCGCATTGAAAGAAAATAGATTGAGGCCCATCCAAATGGGTTTCATTTTAAATTGCTTAAGTGGAATTTTATTGAATCGAATGGAAATAATGAATCAAGTTTTTTCAATTACATTACTTAGTCTTTTGACACGCAATAGAATACTTTATATTGTATTAAGTTTCTATTTTTATTTTTGGGTTTTATTTCTTTTTCACGTGATTTATCTATTTTACTTTCATAGAATTTAAAAATAGATGAACACCCTTGACGTTCGAATCCAAGTTCACTGAAAATCGATATGAACTTGGCAAACGAAATAAACTTTCAATTTTTATCATTTTAATTGAGCACAACGAATTAGGGAGCATTTATTAAAAATCTCGTTTTAAATTTTAAATGGTAATTTTTGGATTAAAAATTGATCGACCATCATTTAAATGACTTCTTACAAATTTATACCAAAACTTTTTATTTTAACAATTTTAAATTGATACATTTTTAACACAAAATTTAGTCGATAATTTTTAATTTACAAAGTGTAAACGTAACTTTAGCAGACGGCGTACGCTGTCACTTTCTAGGGTGGTCAATTTTATACATAATAATAAATTATACTTAAAAAATTATTTTTATTAAAAAATGATGGTTAAAAATTTTTGCAAAAATTGATTGGAAATAATTTTGTTTAATACAGAAGTGAATTGTTAGTAAATTTTGTCTTTTAATACATGATAGTTGAAAATATTTAAAATTTATAAATGTAAACCTAATTTTTTTAGTTGGGAAAATTTTAAACCAATAAATTTTGAAACAAAAAATAATTTATAAATGTTAATATAATTTTGTAGTAAGTAAATTAAGCCGTTTAACGCTTCTTTTTATATATTTCTTTTTAAAATAGATGACAACAAAAATTTTTGAAGTTGAAATGGCTAGAGCATCACTCTTTTTCTACAGCGCTGATCAAAATTCCCATTATGTATACAGCAGTTTCTGGATATAACGTTTCCTTTTAGATGGATTGGGAGAAAGGGTGCTATAGAATGGCCCGCAAGATCACTGGATTTATCTCCCCTTGATTTTTTTGTGGGGAAATCCAAAATTTATGCCACCCAGCCTGAATCCTTAGAAGATTTATGGAACCACATCAATAATGAATTACAAAATTTGTGGCCAGCTAATATTCCCAATTTAAACCCAATTAAACCTTTTTGAAGCATTGTGAAAAGCTGTTTGCATACACGCCAAAGACCAATTTCCCTTTAAGAGCTTGTTATAACAGTGCAAGAGAATGGAAGAGCATTTCTCAAAATCCAATAGACCATAGCTGCAGCTAATAGAGTCGATGTCTAGAAGATGTGCTGAGGCTATTAGATTTGGGGACAAAATATTCAAAACTTATTTTTTGAGACCACCCTTCTGTACCTAATAGACACCTGTAGCTTAATGTAGACCCCAAGAGGGCAAACCACACAAAGATCAAAAGGGTTGGACCATATTTGATGTTGGTTGATTGTAATTATCGTAATTGGAATCTACCCACCTCACTGGAACGTTTTACTAAAACACATTTAATTAAATTTAATTAAAAAGGTATCATTTTTCACGATAATTACTGTCCAGTAATGATCGTAAAACAATTTGTTGTTTAGATGCACAATTATTTCAAACAATGAAGACTTATCTTATAAACGACGAACAGATTAAGATACAATATATTATCTCTTCAATCAGACCTATTGAAGGTGGTTTTCTCTATTTGAAAAGTGTCAGTCAAAATTTATTAAAACATCAATAAGGTGTTTGTTGGTAGATAGGTGCATTTTAATGATGAGAAGGCATTTGAATAGAAATGCATAGAGAAAACATAAATATCTGGTTGTGTTGTGCATTTAAACTATAATTTAGCATATCATCAATACATTTAGGTTTCTTTATCTATCTATGTAAAAGAACGTCGTTAGGAGAGGTACACCAGTGCAGTTCTTACTAAAGAAATTAAACATGATTAAAAAGGACAAAACTAAAAAATTTGATTCTTCTAAATGTGGAACCTTATTACAACACAATGATATGATATTTTTGGAGATTCGAATAGATAATGAAATTTTGATTTCAGCAATATGCATTAATTGGGTCATTTTCACACCCGCTTTCAGGAAAATGAAGATCAAAATATTTTTTTTGCTTAAATTGACTTTTGGTTGGATTTTTATAAATGTTTAGAGTTTTGTTTACTTACATTTAAGACAGGCAGTGCACTTTTTAATTTTTTTTACGTTTTTTTCAGAAAAATGTGTTTAGCTATAGCTATAGCTATAGCTTTATATATCTCCACTTTGTTACCAATTTGAAATCCAAAATTTAATTCAATAAAAAAAGTTTTATTTTATTTTTTATTAAAAACTGTATGCTCTTTTTTTAATATGTATGTTCGTTAAGTTACTTTTTAAAAGAAACCATTCCGATTCTTTGTTAAAAAAACAATACCATTAATATTTTCTTTTAGTCACTGTATTAGTGAATTAAACTCTAATTTTTAAACACGTATTACCAAGTGATAGTGTATAAAAATCATTTTAAGTATTTTTTTTTAACAAAAACTAAAAAAAGTAACGAAATAGACATTGGTATCACAACGGACAGGGGTACACAAAGGACTTAATCAGATAACGTAAAAAAGAGTAATGCATAAACAAAATCCCTTGTAGTGGTGCTCACTTGCAGAATAACAACTTAGATTTCTAAATTGTAGACACCCTTTTTCTTTGACTATAAGCTGGTGAAGGTCCCTTTTAGTACTTTTATATTGCGTGGAATTTTTCCTTGGATGTAATCTATATCATGAGTTGTAATTACAAATAATTTTAAATTGGTTAATCATAAACTACTTTTAATAAAAGCGACGGTAAATATCCACTTTGTTGTCGAAAAATTCTATTGCGTTACCCTAAATTCCATTGCGTTACCATAAGGTAACATAGTGGACTCGGTAACGCAGTGGACAAAGTTTTGTAAAACCATATTTAAAAAATAATAATAAGACATTATAGTCATTAATTACTCTCAATGAGCTTTAGTGCCCTAAAATAAACATAAACATGAAAAATAGTATTTTTTCTTACCTTATTTTTATTATTTTTTTGAGTAACTTAGCGGACAAACAATTATTACATTCGCGTTACCCGCACCTGTTTCAACCGAGATCTTCTTCCTGATTGAATAAATAAATTCAGCTGGGTAATGTGTACGTCCGAACATCATTTGTTGATCACGTGAGTACCAAAAAAGTTGCCATATATATGTTTTTTTTAATATTCTATCGGTAACGCGACGGACGTAACGCAACGGAAAAAATGTTTGGGACATGAGTCAAATTTAAAAAAGTAGATTAAAATTAATTATTTTATGTATAAATTGTTTACTGTATTAACTAAGGATGTTATGGATTGCTATAAAGCAACACAAAGTTCTGGTTATTTAATATTAAAAAAAAAACATGTATGTAAGTTTTATAAAACACTAATGGGACATGCGAAAATATGTGTTTCACAAGTTACAAAATTAAAAAAAAATATTCTGAAATAACTAAACAAAAGGCTTTCACTTGGTTTTTAAATCAATGAGATCCGATAATTTTTAACAAAGTTATTGGAATTCAAACTTACGGACAGCGGAAGGCGGGTGTTTTTTGAAAACGACCCAATTATTAAAAGTGGAACATTTATAGTTTTTAATAATGTTTTGATATTTTATAATTTTTATTCAAAGACTTTTGATAAAAATAAGTAATTTCACATTTTCGTAACCTCCTGAAGAAATCATTTCTGTAATTCCCCTTGAATTTGTTTTGCTCCTTTATTCAGCTTGTATTATTACGTTTTGAGTACGTGTTCGGTAAGTTTTATTGGCAAGCTTTTCACTTGTTTTCTTTCAGTTTCAGTCAGCTGCTCGAGGGTCTCTGAAAGTCCAAATTTACGAGGACATCATCATGAACTTCCAGTTTTATATCCCCACCAACTAACTGCAAACTTCACATGCTCTTTGACTGTAATCAGCTTTGGGTGAATTAAATTGTGTAAGGTCATATATATAATTTAATGAAAAGTTTTTGGCGGAACCATTCGTTTACTTAATTGGAAGTAACTGCAACCGGAAACTTTAATGGAAGTTTAATTTTAAGAACGGTAGCTGAAAGTTGCAAATTTATTAGTTTCAAAAAGTCTGGTGTTCAAGTTTTCCCAGAAGTATCGAAATACATTAGTCAGATGTTTTTTAGTTAAATTGTTAATTTATGTTTTTTTTATATCTTTTTTTAACTGCTTAAGGAGGTTCAGGCACTTTATATTGTAACAGGATCGTGAATTACAAAAAAGGTAAAAAAAATAGGAAATAAAGGCGTCAACAGTTGCAGTGACATTTCTTTATGCAGTATTATTTACAATCTTAAAATGAGTTGTGAAACTTTTTTTTTCGCTCATAACTTCTTCAAAAATGGTCCAAATCAAAATGTTCATTCTATATAAAATTTTCGTTTTTAAATGTACCTACTTTTCGAAAAAAAATATATTCCATAATTACTATTTTTTTTCGATTTTTCAAAATAAAAAAAATTATTTTAAGTTTCGAAAAAAATAGTAATTATGGAAGGCCCACTACCGGACCAGGCTATATAGTTGTTGAATAGATAGAAGTTGAAAATAAAAATTTTTCGCGAAAATCGAAGAAGACACACATTTTTAAAAATACGATTTAAACTTTAAAACTCAAAAATCTTGACTTAAAACGCTTCAAATATTTTCAACATATTTTTTTTCGAAAAGTACATTTAAAAACGAAAATTTTATATAGAATGAACATTTTGATTTGGACCATTTTTTAAGAAGTTATGAGCGAAAAACAAAAAAAAAGCAGTTTTTTTGAAGATTTTATATCTTTTGAACCCGTGATCAAAAAAATCTCAAAATTTACTGAGAAAGCTCTTTCAAGGAATACTAAAAAATAAAAAAAATTGGAGGAATCCAAAAAATTTTTTTTGAAATAAATATATTTGGCTAAAATTGACAAATATTTTTTTACTGTGTATTTACTCTTCAGTATCTCAATTTATCATTACTTAAATTTCAAAAATATCGTCCAATTTTAATTAAATATTTGTTTGTCTTTTTAAAAACAATTAACATATAAAACCCTTGTTTCGTAGATAGCAAAAACATTATGAAAACCTCGACGACATCCGCTACCAATGATAAATTAACTATTTTCGAAAAACCTAATAAAGCGCGCACAACGCTCTACTAAATAAATCATCCTAATCGTTGAATTCCAACTCGACGACTGTTTCGTGCGTTTTCGCCGATATTGCAGCAATAAATTTATTTCCCGACGTTAAATCAAGTCGACATTATTCCACATTGCAGGACAGTTGAACGTTGCGCGCCTTCTTGATTGATATGTCGGTTTTTTACTCGAAGCCAAGAAATTATTAAAATTAGGAGAATAACTTCGTTAATTGATATAATTAACTGGTTATACACTATAGTGTATATATAATATAGTGTACAGGGTGTTATGTAATTAATGTTATATATTAAAATGGGTTGTTCCTTAGGGTCCATAAAGAAGCACCTGAAACTTTTTTTTTTCTAAATTCCAAAGTCTAAAAATAATTTATAATAACCTTTATCCTACCAAAAAGAACGCCACTGATCGACTAGGTACTTTAGGTTAATCTGGTGGATTTATTATGTTATGGTTGGTAACAGTGTTTCGAAAATCTCTCAAAAAAGTTGACAAACATTGTTTAAATTTAGCTTAATTACAAAAATGACAAAAATTAACAATGCAAATTGTCAATTTGGCGTTTTTATTAATTGTTGGTTATTTCATTTTTGTACTGAAGGTAAATTCAAACAAAATCTGCCAACTTTTATGACAGAATCTAGTGCATTTCTTTTAAATTTTAGGTTATGTTTTCAAATTGTAAATATCTTAACTAAGGGAAGTGCTTTTGGATTTATTTACACAAATTAAATGTTTAAAGTTTAACCTGTGAACTGGTCCCAATTTCATCTGAGTAAACAGAGAAAAAACCGATGAAAAAATTAATTTTGTGGTTATGGATTTCAAATTTCAAAGGTACTAAATTTTCTAATCATTGCTTAAGCTAATAGCTGGATCAGTAAATAAATACAGAAGGGTATTAGAGCTTTAACTTTTGTATTTATTGAGTTTTTATTTATTTTTTGCAAGAAAAATTTTTAGTAACAATTTTTTACATCTGGCAACGCATAGCTACTTTGTTGGTTGGTATCTATGTACTCACAAAATACAGGTGTGCAGAGATAAACAAGTGTGTAACCAGTGGCGTATCACAAAAAATATAAAAAACTTCTAATGCATATTTTTTCTTTATCTTTGGAAAAATGTTTTTTTAAATATTTTTCCTTTATTCCTTATGTCAAAAGGTATTCAGTATTTTAATATATAACATTAATTACATAACACCCTGTATATATAATATACATATTTTATTCATTCATCATTCAATGTTAAATATACGTGTACAAACATTTTTACTTACCCCTGTTAATGTGTTGAGTTCCCCAAGCCATTCGTTCAAAAGCTGCTCGGGATCTTCGGCATCTGAGTCAGGCTCGTCATTTTCCGTGTCACATATTTTACTTGACATCTATAAAACAATGTAAAAAAAATGCATAAATACCAAGAAAAACTCGTTTACTTTCGAAGAACAGTCATTACATAAAACAGTTTCATAAATAATGCAAAATGTTAAATCAATACCACCGCTGGCTGCAATTTCAAACTTTGATACTTTGTGTGTTGTTTGTGTAAATGCTGAAAGAACAAAACATTAAAATTACACAGTATTTGAATACAGCATTTTAAAGATTTTTGGATTAAATTAATTATCACCATCTTTAAAAAATTGTGCCCTTCTTGTAAAATAATACTAAATGTTTAAATTATTGTATTATATCAATACACAAATACAAAAGATAGTAGTATTATTTCTCATATAATAATATTATTATACGAGAAATAATGCGCATAATCTCTAGTGTAATACTACACTTTATCTACTCCAATAAATAGATAATTTAATGATTTTCAAAAATAATTAAATACAATCTGACATCTGTCAAATGGTTAACCTCACTTCTTATACTGAGTTCATTATTCCCGGTTTTTTTTTTAGAATTTTGAATTGAATTTTCAGTGGACCATAACTTTTTGAATCGATATGGACATTTTTTAAAATTATTTATGTTTTAATGTAGATTTGAAAAAAAATATTGAAAAAAATTCTTTGCTTGAGTTTTTATGATGTTTTGTTTAATTTTCTATTAGGTTTTGAGAAAATTGACCATTTTTTTAATCGTCCATAACTTTTTGAAAAATTGATCGATTTGGACATTTTTTTTCAAATTATTCGTGTTTTCGAAAAAAAAAATATTTGCTTGAGTTTTCATGTTTTGTTTAATTTTCTATTAGGGCCCTGTTTTTTAGAATGTGTGGATGCTTGAGTTAAAAAAATGTAAATGTAAAAGAGCACTGGAAATATATTTTAACGGATAATTAAAGAAGCAAATTTTATAATACATTTTTTAACTAAACAGCCATTCCACGCTACTAGGGAATTTTTGTAGCATCCGTTACAATCAAAAATTGTGAGTAAAACTACCGTAATTATTATGCTTATAAGTTTAAGCCTAATTATTACAAGCATAATAAACATGTTTGCAATATTAACTATTGTAATAGTATTTAATTTAATTACGGTAGCTTTTAATCACAATTTTTGATTGTAATGGACGCTACAAAAATTCCCGAGTAGCTTGGAATGGCTGTAAAATAAAAAATATTTTTTTTTTAATTAATTATTTTATCATAAAATAATGTTGATTTTTTTTATGTAATTCTTCTACAGAAGTTAAGAAACGCTTCAATGTGAGTGATTCATTTTTATTTGGAATCACACAAAGCAATTTTTAAGTTCCCTTCACGGGTTTTGCTAAAGTATATAGTCGAGGTTATAACTATTTTTAATTTGTTCATATTAATTTTTAGTTGAATATTTTATTTATATACAATGTTCAATTTTGGGATACCATGGTATTCCATGGATTCCCATGGGACAAGTGAAAAAGCAGCCACTAATAACTATTAAATTAGTCATTTTTGACTAATTCATTTTTAGAGAGTACACTTATTGACTTTGCCACTTGGCATATTGTGTATACAGTGTAGATAAATGTATGCATAATTTTTCGAGTTTTACGATCTAAAATGGCGAAGCACTAAGTAACTAAAGTCGTTAGCGGTAAAAATAACGATAATTACCGAAGCCATTCGGTGTTATTGTCGAACTTAACTTGCTTTATTATCGTAATATTGTTTGTTGTACCTGTACATTTTAGCGTTTTTAGCTTTTTTACCTACGTACTGCAGAGATAAAGTTGCATGGGAATGTTGATAGTCCATCGCAGAAAATAAAATAAAAGTTTCAGATAAATATATAAATGTAAAGAAAAATGCTTTTAATTAAAAAGTTATGGTTATTATTTTTAGATATGTAACTAATTAAAAATAGCGAAGGCGTTAAACTTTTGCAAGGTGTTCTGACCGAGAAATCAAAAGTAAAAGATCTGTTCATTCATGAGTCCCACTCACTGAAGTTTCAGTGGGCTGAATACGAAAAATGCACACACACTGTGTTTGAAGGTAGGATGTGGTTCATGGTGGGCCGCGTGAAACTAAAAATTAAAACACATGGTCGAAAACATTTTTTAAATTTTCCGTCTTAAAGTATGATTAATTGCTTGTTTAATATTTTTAAGACCGTTATGGTAAGAAGCCTTTTAAAATGCTAAATTTCAGGCTTAAAGCCATTTTTCTTACGGTGACGCTTCCTGCAAACCATCATTTTTAACTGAAGGGTTAGCAATTTTTCAACTTGCTTCGTTGGATCACGTATTCATGGAAAAACTATTGATTTTGGCTTTATATCGCATTTGACAAACAAACGGCTAATTCCTCAATTCGAAGCATGCCCCATGCTGTCCATTTTGGCAGTAATGAAATTTGTGGCCGTATATTGATTTTGACGGCAAATAAACGTCGGAAAATCCTGTTTGTTTGTCTGACACCGTTACCGCGACCCAAGGGCACTAATTATAATCAACCGCAAAAGGACAGCACCTACCCAAATAATAAAATTAAATATTCATTTTAGTACACAGTAAAAAATTTTGCGAGTGTAAATTTTTTAGTGTAGTGGTAAAAATTTGATTTGATTTGTAAGGGTAAAAGTTACACTACAAAATACACAAGGTAGCGTTTAGTGCTTATTAACTTTATTAAACACATTTAAAGAATATGAACATTATTCATTAGTACATTCACAATATTTATTATTAAAATAAATCAAAGGGGTAGAAAAACTTAATGCAAGTGTTTATTACCCCTTAATGTGTTAAATAGTGACAAAATGTACACTACAGAGCTCTTTTTTCTTTACACTACTAGTGCACATTGTATCACAATTAAAGTTAAATTACACCAATAGTGGCAAAATAGACTGAAAAAACTGGTAATAACCGAAATGCGTTTTAAAATTTTTGGTTGGTACCTATCTACCTACGCAGTGCATATCCGGAGATACAGCGTTGTGGAAGTGTGGCATTTTTGTTCAGTTAAATTTTAATTACGGTGAATCCATAAGAGGACATTCTTATTTTTTGGTAAGTATTATACTTCCTTTTTTTAAAGCCTTTATATTCAATAAATACCAATGTGTTAAAAGGATGTCCATACCCGAAATATATTATATATCAAAAATTTACGGCAGTAGGTCGGGTACTTGTAACATTAATAATATAAATACATAAACACTTGATTTACTTTTTATTTTCAAGCGTAATGGTTGTTATATTAACCTATACCTACATTTTTATTAATATTATGGAAAATTTGTACAAGTGTGGTAAATCCCCGACATACAGCCGCCTGACGCCTCTCTACCAATGGGATCACCCATTTTTTATGACAGAAAAATGGATTACTGATGAATTCTCAAGATAATTCATTGCTTACAAGTTGACAGCCAGTAAAACATTGCATTGATCTAAAACTTTTACGTTTTAAGGAACCATTTTGCTTAAGCCAGCCATACGACTCAAATATAAAATTATATTTTAAAAGGCACCGATTTTGATAATCGTCATAGATTTTTGTTCTGAATAAATGTTTCTCTTTATTTACCTTTTCGTTTTATTCACTACCATGGTGCACCAATAGGTTTTACTCAAATAATAGTGTTAATTTACTCTAGAAGTTTGCACTAAAAGAGTAAAAGTATCTTTCTAAAATTAGAACTTTTCCAAAGTAGTGTTAATTTACTCTGAACAAAAGTGTAGAAGTACACGATTTTAGGTGAATTAACACTTTTTAATACAGTGTAAAATTACTTTATCCTCAGTGCTATAGTGTTAAATCATACTTGCTTACTCGGGGAGAATTACACTACAAATTAACTCTAATTGTAGTGTTATAAAACAACACTATTTAGTGTGGACCTGTGTGAACTCTAATTAGTGTTGCTTAAAGTTGATTTTTTTTTACTGTGTAATGGGGAGCTTAAATGAGTACAAACTAATCAAGCTGTGGTTTTCAGGAAACTTAAATCGTTATCTGGATTCAAAATTGTAATTTTCTTCATATGCTTCACTAATATAAATCAAACGTAACACGTACCTACCTAGGTAACAATACCTGCAAGCAGGCTCACGTAAATTTATGTCCACCAGCGTGCAGCGGTTTCGGTTAAGACCGGAGCACCGCTTTCACCAGGCCACAGAACTCAAAATTTATGGCGTTTACCTCGACGAATGCATTTTTTTCGACAGCGGAATAAATTTACGACACGTAGTATACGTACAGCCGGCCGTAATAACAAATAGGTGAGCATAGGTCATGATTGCTTGTGGGCTACTAAATAATAAAATCTGATTAATAAACGTTTTGAATTGTAAAAGCCCACGCTAATAGGTTTTAATGGTTAAATTGTAGTGTACACTGCACTATGGCTATGTGTATAGGTTCGTGTGTGGCTGGATGGGGAACAAGTTGACTTTACAATTAATGGAATTTTTACAGGGTGCACCAACTAAACTTCTATCATAGATGTTTCTAGTTTGCTAATTTTATTTTGCATAATTTTAACATAATTTTTTATAGAAAATCAGAGTTTTTAATTATTTTAACAAAGAAAAATATTTGTGAAGGTACACAGTAAAATAAAATCAACTCTAAGCAACACTAATTAGAGTTCACACAGGTCCACACTAAATAGTGTTGTTTTATAACACTACAATTAGAGTTAATTTGTAGTGTAATTTTCCCCAAGTAAGCAAGTATGATTGAACACTATATAGCACTGAGGATAAAGTAATTTTACACTGTATTAAAAAGTGTTAATTTACCTAAAATCGTGTACTTCTACACTTCCTGGGTAAAATCCCACTTTTGTTCAGTGTAAATTAACACTACTTTGGAAAAGTTCTAATTTAAGAAATGTACTTTTACTCTTTTATAATAATAATAATAATATAATTCCGGCTGAAGGACTACGGTCAATAGCCTTTGAACTTGGTTTTAGTTCAATAAAGCATTATTATTATTATATAATTTTATATTTGAGTCGTATGGCTGGCTGGTAAAAGTTTTAGATCAATGCAATGTTTTACTGGCTATCAACTTGTAAGCAATGAATTATCTTGAGAATTCATCAGTAATCCATTTTTCTTTTATAAAAAATGGGTGATCCCATTGGTAGAGAGGCGTCAGGCGGCTGTATGTCGGGTATTTACCACACGTGTACAAATTTTCCATAATATTAATAAAAATGTAGGTAAATGTTAATATAAAAACCATTACGCTTGAAAATAAAAATTAAATCAAGTGTGTATGTATTTATATTATTAATTTTACAAGTACCCCACCTACTGCCGTAAATTATTGATATATAAAATAGGACGGGTATGGACATCCTTTTAACATATTGGTATTTATTGAGTATTAAGGCTTAAAGAAAAAGGAAGTATAATACTTACCAAAAAATAAGAATGTCCTCTTATGGATTCACCGTAATTAAAATCTAACTGAACAAAAATGCCACACTTCCACAGCGCGGTATCTCCGGATATGCACTGCGTAGGTAGATAGGTACCAACCAAACATTTTAAAACGCATTTCGGTTATTACCAGTTTTTTCAGTGTATTTTGCCACTAATGGTGTAATTTAACTTTAATTGTGATACAATGTGCACTAGTAGTGTAAAGAAAAAAGAGCTCTTAGTAACATCAAAATAGACAAAGAAATTGGCATGCACTATAGTGTACATTTTGTCACTATTTAACACATTAAGGGGTAATAAACATTCGCATTAAGTTTTTTTACCGTTTTGATTTATTTTAATAATAAATAGTGTGAATGTACCAATGAATAATGTTCATATTCTTTAAATGTGTTTAATAAAGTTAATAAGCACTAAATGCTACCTAGTGTATTTTGTAGTGAAACTTTTACACTTACAAATCAACTCTAATATTTTTACCCCTACACTAAAAAATTTTTTACTGTGTAGAAAGGTTTTATTTTAGTTTTTCATTATATGTCATAATTTTAGCTTATCGTCTATTAAAGTTGTGAATTCATAAAAAACTTTTTTAAATTGTCTTTTTTAAGCTATAAAGGTAAATATTGAAAACATAGGGTTTTAGACAAAGCCCGCAAACTCAAACAAAAATAGATTGGAAAACTCATCAAGCCTTATCGTAAAAATGTTTTGTAAATACTTCCGGCGACAGAAAAAATTAATAAAGCCATCTCAAATAGCAAAATTAAAATTTTTTTACGTCCCGAAGGACAGCGTTGCATCTGCTGTCAAATCCCGTTAACTTTTATAGGAAATATTTCGCGAGCAGACTGAACTTTCTGAATTATTAAGGTGCTCGTTACAATCGCTGAAGCAGACTGGGTTATTTTTGTTTTCTTTATTTTTATCCAGACAAAATAATCCGAAAAAGAAATGGGATAATTCGTTGCAGATTTAAATCCTGCCAACACAGAAAAAAGTTCACCTTGCAATTACGTTAATTAAGTTACAAAAACAACCTAAAATTATTAGGCACTTTAATGTATTGCATTGAAGTAACACTAGTGCTCTTATAGCGATCTTTAAGTTAGCTTTAAAACTAAACAGCCTTAGGACCATAATAAAACCATTTATTTTTCATTTTAATTTTTAAAAAGTTTTAATTTTGGTTTTAAAACTTCTGTTTCACATGACCGTCGTATGTCCCTCGAGCAAAATCCAATAATTGCGATCTTCTAAAAATTTAATTCAACTTTTAAGTAGCAAATGATATTGGACAAATTTTGTTTTTTTGTCTTAAATATCCATTATTGTTAATGTTTAGGTTCCTGTCGTGTATTTTGATAAAGAAAAGGTAAGTTAAAGTTCTTTGTATTTTTTTATTAACATGACCGTCTTTTGTGATAAAATAGCAACATAAATAGTTATAAATTGCTCGCTATGTTTTTTTGTTGTCGGTTGTTTACCGGTGGAAATTCTAACCTAAAATTCACAACATGTGGATACTTTTAATTTTGAGCAAATAAAAATGTGTGAATTCACATGAAAAAAAGTATGCGACGGTCATGTTAAAAATTTGTTTATTTTTTATTTAAAACCCTTTCTTCATCATTCTTTTCTAGTTTATAGTTTCTTAATGGGTAAACTAAAACATTAAAACTATTTGTTCCAAAATTGTTGTTTTAAAACCAACTTGCTATTTAATCCTTTAAAAAGAAAATTAGTTTTAAAATGGTATTATAGAGTATTATAAAACCATTATAACATCAATTAAGCATTAAGAGCAAATAGTTAAGTAGCCTTTAAAACCAATATCGTTTTATTAAACATAATAAAGCACTTTAAACCCCAAAGTATTTTACAATCGTTACTTGGGTCATTTTGACGAACTGTAATAAATCTTAAGTCCTGCTGTCTACAAGCTGTTACAAAGCACCGATATCGACCTATAGCGCTGTCGTAACTTCCTGCAATTCCTGGCACTCGACTTTTTCCTTATTTGGGACAGTCGGTCTTCTAACCACTTACCTGGATTCTCCCCAAATTGGTTTTTGGATATAATCCTGCTCAATATTTGTAGGGGATTAAGATATCAAAGGTCCTGACTCGAGGAAATGTAATTTTCCTGCGGAATTACCTGCGGCTATTTTATTCCTGCTATGCCGCATGATACAACCTGAATAAATATTAATTTGGGGGAAATCCGAGATCGCCTTGGAAATGATTGTATTAGATGTGGTTACTTTAATTACATTATAAATAATACAAAACTTGAGTATTCTATGCGTCAACGGCTTAATTAACAAATTTTCTCGATGAATAATTCATATGTCAGGCAATTCAATTGTTTTCTCAACGGTAAATTGCTCGAATTGTTTTTTAATATCCTCGAGCCTAAAATCGTATTACCAACACGTTCGGTTCCTAGAACTCCGTTAATTACATGGCGTTAAAACAATTGGCGTCGATATTGTTTGGTAATTGGTGGGTTACTGTAGTTTTCAAACAATTTACTCCCACGCCTATTGTAAATTAAATAATACAATGCCAAAATTATTTGACTTTACAAAAAGTACATTTTGGAGGTTTGGCAACACCGGATGCATTAAGATTCGGTGCTTTCTTTCTCTCGGCGAAGTGATGATGCAAATTCTATTTTAATATTATTTCCCGTTACCGCACTCAAGCTTTCTGGGCGCTTTTTTTCTTGTTGCTTTTTTTATTCAAAGGCGTTCCAGACGGTCTTATTGAATAAGCTTTTTACGTGGAAGAGACAGGCAAACCTCGTTACGTGTGGCAACTCATTTTTATCATGATGGTAAATATTTATAAAGGAGTCGTGTGAATATGACACTAATTAATGGAAAAAGGCGGGTTTTGTATATAATTATGGTCAATGAGATATCATGAAATATGCATTTTTAATTTATTTATAGTTTTTATGACTTATAAATGCAGGTACCTAATCAAAAACAAAATTTAGAATGACAAAAAGCAATTGAGAACGTCAAAAACACATTTAAGAACGATAAAAAAAATATTGTAAATAATAATGTGAAAACACAATTGATAACTTCAAAAACACAATTTAGAATGACAAAACTCAATTAAGAACGTCAACACAACTAAAAATATAAAAAACTCAATTAGGAATGTTTAAATAATGTGTTAAAACATATTTTTAATAATGTCAAAAACACAATTTAGAATATCAAATCGGAATTGAGAACGTTAAAAACCAATAAAATATATAAAAACACAATTTAAAACGACAAAACGCAATTAAGAACGCCAAAACACAATTTAATATATTAAAACACAATGTAGAATGAATAAAATTGTTTTACGTAAGAATCTCAAAATCTATATTTAATAATAAAAACACAATAAGGAATGTCAAAACGCAAACTTAAATTTAATAACGTGAAAAACACAATTGGACTGTTCAAATATTATGTAAAAACATATATTTAATACATTTTAGAATGTCAAAACTGAATTGAAAAGGTGTAATCCCAATTTAATATATTAAAAACACAATTTATAATGTCAAAACGCAATTGAGAACGTCAAAACTACATTTAAGAATGAGAATATTGTACGTAAGGATGTCAAACCTATATTTAATATTGTAAAAACGCAATTGAGAACGTAAATAATAATTAAAAATGTGAAAAATACAATTATGAATGTCAGAATAATATGTCAAAACATATTAAATATATGTAAAAAACACAATTTATATTGTCAAAATGCAATTGAGAACTTCAAAACCCAATTTAATACATCAAAAACACAACTTAGATTGAGAAAACACAATTGAGAACGTCAAAACAATATTTAAAAATGGTGAAAAAATATTGGACCTAAGAATATCAAAACCTATATTTAATAATATAAAAAAAACCTTTAATAGTGACAAAACGCAATTAAGAACGAACACAATTTAAAATGTAAAAAACACAATTAAAACTGTTAAAACAAATATTAAATAATGAAAAAATCATTTTCAATGTCAAAATGCAATTGAAAACGTCAAAACCCAATTTAATACATCAAAAACACAATGTAGAATGTGAAAACGCAATTGAAAAAGTCAAAAACACATTTAAGAATGGTAAGAAAATATTGTACCTATATATAATAAATAATCTAGAAAACACTATTAAGGAATTTCAAAACGCAATTGAGAACTTCAAAAACGCAATATAAAATGTAAAAAACACAATTAGAGGTGTTAAAATAATATGTCAAAACATTATTTTGATAATGTTAAAAATATAATTTAGAATGTCAAAACGCAATTAAGAATGCCAAAACCCAATTTTATAGCTTAAAAACACAATTTAGAATGTTAAAACGCAATAAGAAAGTCAAAAACACATTTAAGAATTGTGCAAAAGTATTGTACGTAAGATTATCACAACCTTTATTTAATAATCTAAAAACACATTTAGGAATGTCAAAATGCAATTGAAAACGTCAAAACCCAATTTATTACATCAAAAACACAATGTAAAAGGACAAAACGCAATTGAGAATGTCAAAAACACTTTTAAGTTCCTATATTTAATAATCTAGAAAACACAATTAGGAATGTTAAAACACAATTTAGAATGTTAAAACGCAATTGAAAATATTGTACGTAGGAATGTCAAAACCCATAATATTATTATTATTAGTATTAAATACTATTTAGTAATGTAAAAAAACACAATTTGGAATATCAATACACAATTAAGATAATATTAAAATAATTTGTCGAAATTTTTATATATGTAATAATGTAAAAAACACCATTAAAAACGCTAAAATAACAATTAAAAATGTGTTTAATACAATTAATAAAATAATATGTCAATACCTATATTAATTAAAACACAATTTGGAATTTAATATATCGAAAACACAATTTATAATAGCAGAAACATAACAAAGAATTTTAAAAATTAATCAATCATCAAAGTGTTCAAGATAATGAACATCATTTCAATGAATATTGGTTCCTATTTATTTGCAAATTAATCTCTTAACCATGAGATGTGAGGATAGAGTTTGGCGTTCGTTATCGAAAACCGCTGTTAATAATTCAGAGAGTGAATTAATTGGCGTTAAACACCCGGAATGCGGGTTCGAACTTAGCATTTGATAATTGCCCCCAAAACCCGGCATTAATGGCCGATTTTCGATTACCATTGGCGTACAAGAGCCTGTCAAAGTACGTACTTAGTATATTGTAGAGGATGGCAAATTTCGACGCAAAGGCAAACGGTGAGGTGTTGACTTGAAATTTGATACTTTTTTTCTATAACCAATCAGAGCAAGGCATTTTTCACAGCACACCTAAAGCGATGGATAATGACGTGATCTGATTGGTTTATTGATTTTTATAGAGATACCTAATTTACTATAGAAAGTAAAGTCGCTAATTAAAAAAAACGATGTATATTTGTATTTTTTGGTGGATTTAATTAATGTATAAAGTTTAGTAGGTTTGGGTTGACGCCACTGGATTGCGTTCGAGAAGATAAATTAACCAATGAACTTGCCCTTGTGTCTAACTGGAGTTTCACTGTTCTGGCATGGTTAGAATTTCGGATATTTGCCAAGTGGAAACTGGAGTCACTCACTATCCTAATTATGTTTGCCTATGATTAGTTTGGTTATTAATTTTACTTAATACTCGTACATTACTCAGGATATAATGATTTCTCCTTTAGCATGATATCAAAACCACCTGGTCCATTAGTCATTGTCATACAATAAATAATAAATGATTGGGCAAAATAATAAACAAATTGTCGGTATTTTTAATTGTAGCATTAAGACATATATATATATATGTAAAAAACACAATTTATAATGTCAAAATGCAATTAAGAACAAACCCCAATTTAATAAATTAAAAACACAATTTATATTGACAAAACGCAATTGAGAACGTCAAAACAATATTTAAAAATGGTGAAAAAATATTGGACTTAAGAATATCAAAACATATATTTAATAATATAAAAACACATTTAGGAATGCCAAAAACACAATTAAAACTGTTAAATAATATGTCAAAACATATATTAAATAATGAAAAAAAATTAATGTCAAAATGCGATTGAAAACGTGAAAACCCAATTTAATACATCAAAAACACAATGTAGGATGACAAAACGCAATTGAGAACATCAAAAACGCAATATAAAATGTAAAAAACACAATTAAGAGTGTTAAAATAATATGTCAAAAAATATATAAAATAATGTTAAAAATACTATTTAGAATGTCAAAATGCAATTGAGAACGTCAAAACCCAATTAAATAGCTTAAACACAATTTAGAATGTCAAAACGCAATTGACAACGTTAAAAACACATTTAAGAATTGTGTGAAAGTATTGTACGTAAGAATATCAAGTTAACTTATATTTAATAATCTAAAAAACACATTTAGGAATGGTAAAACGCAATTGAGAACTTGAAAAACACAATTTAAAATGTGAAGGGCACAATTAAGACTGTTAAATAAAATGTAAAAACATAAATTAAACAATGAAACAAAAATTGAATTTCAAAATGCAATTGAAAACGTCAAAACCCAATTTTATCAAAAACACAATGTGGAAAGACAAAACGCAATTGACAATGTCAAAAACACATTTAAGAATGGTAAAAAAATGTTGTACCTATATATATTTAATAATCTAGAAAACACGATTAGAACACAATTGAGAATGTTAAAACGCAATTGAGAACGTCTTAAAAATATTGAGGTCAAAATTTTGAAATTTTTTTACTTCAAATTTTTTTCGTTTAAAGTTGATAACTTTTCATTAAAAAATAAAAAGTTAAGACCATTTCCGGTAAAACCAGATAGAAGTGACAAAAATATATTAAATATGTCAAAAAGTTCTAAATTACACTTACACTTTATAAAGGTCATCTCAGTTTCATGACCCTAGATAAAATACCAAATTTTTGCGATAAACCACGAATTTATTAGAAATTGGCATTTTCATTAAAAAAATAATAATTCACCTAATTTTTTAGATTGTCTTTGTATGTACTAAACATTTAACCACAATTTAAAAAAATCGTAACTTTTGAAAAATTTTTGGCCAAGTTATCGCATTTATAAGAAAAATGGCTGTAATAAAAAATAAAAAATAGATGTT